CGGCCAGCATCCGCCCTGCTGACGTGTCCTTGAGCAAGACACCGACTCCCCCGCTGCCACCCCCACCCACCCTCCCCCCAGCTCCACAGCGCGGTTTGGTAATGGGGACCCGGAGTGGCATTTTAATAAAGTATCAAGTTTTAATAAGTACACCATAACCCGTGCATTTCCCATGGTGCATTCGTGAGAACTAAACTGGAAAGGCCTGTCACGGAATGGCACACATTGTGAGCATGCCATTCCCCTGCAACATGAAAGCCTATCGCCTTTTCCATGTAATAGATAATGCCAACAGCAGCATGCCCATGCGTCAGTGAGGCCGGTGCATTTGCGCACCAGCAGTCTCTCCTGCACACATCAGTTCCCCGACATCTCCAAAGGATGGCGCCATTTCCAAGTTCATTGTAACCGTTCCTGCACAGCCTTCAGTCTCTGTAAGACCACACTGCTTACAAGATGATGTCTGATCAAACAGTTAAACATAAACCAAGTGAACTGACCCATATTATGTGTTAAAAATGCTGTATGTAAGGATGACCAATAACAGTTTTCAAATACTGAGGAGGAGAATTTGTTTCATAAAGTCACTCAAGGACAACACGTCATTAACAATGCAGTTCTTTTATTTTGTATAAAATCTATTTGGTAACTGCATATTTATACATAATCTGATGGATGTATAAGGAAAATGAAATACAAGTTTTTGTTATGGCTGAACACATTATGACAATGAAACTGAAGAAACTGATTTAAAAAAAACAACCTGATCAATCACGTATGAACACAATGACGTCTGGCCTTAACATAGTCGGACCATTGGCACTTTTTTTGTCTGAAATTAAACATTTGGTTGAGCACAATGTGGGCTGAAAACAACTCCACCCATCCAGTTAAAGATATCTGCAGTGTTTATCTGGTACGTTTAACCATAAAACAGATCGCTGATAAGAAGAAAACAAGTGGTTATATAAGACCCAGATAGCAGTATTGACAACATGATGAGGTCCAAAAACAAAACACCACAAAACATCTCAGTTGTGTGACAGGAAAAATGTTTTCAGCTGATACAGGCTACATGGATGTGACCACAGGTGCAAATTCTGATACCCTTCAGTAATCTCATCTGCAGCTAATGTGATACATACTGACAGCAGACATCAGCTATAGGCTCTGTGACGTTATAGCAAGCTACAGGATAAAGTGGGTAATGTTAAAATAAATTAGATTTGATGATGCTTCTATACCACATCTATACAAATAATTTATCTTTTTCACAGAAACAGCCTTCACCCTTGCACCTGTTAAAAGATGCCAAAGAGGCCAATAGTTTAATACGTGCTATTTTGTAATAAAAGCATAAATAAATACATATGTACAAAAAAAATGTTTGAAAAATGTACAGGCACTTGTAAAAACACTTTGTTTTTTCTCTGACACTTCAGCTACTTCTAGACAATATTTTTTCTGTGCATTTCAGGGTGAAAAAGATCATTAATTTACTCGAGTGTTGTCAACATGACAAACAAATCCTCTGCTGTTTTCCTCACATGCTGAGCGGGCCTCAGGCAATAAGATCCTTCAGGACTACTTGTATCTGCTGAACCTAATTCTTTTCCCCCTCGTGTAGGATCCGACAACCTTGATACAAAACGCTTAAATGAACTCACTTAGCGGTTGTGAAACGAGCGTAGTGTTTACGCCAACCGGCCGATTTCGAAAGCTCAACTGAAGGCCACAGTGAGTGAGTAACAGACAGCATCACATGGGCCTAAGTCAATGCAGTTTCTCTGTGAAAAAACTGCACACACTCACATATTACTCATGCTTTCTCGCTGTCTGTCCTCCATGTTATGTATACATACATACACACAATCACACCTCAGCTCAGCTCATCCTTCAGCTTCCATACACAGTGCCTACTCTCGCATCATTTTCAGTAACCAAAGATTTCTATTTACTGCATTACTTTTTCTTTCTTTTTTCTTTTTTGGTCTTTCAGGAATGGGTGCTATGAAGTGGGCTTCCAACAGAGATGACCCTACATGTTTACATTACATAACAAGCCCATATGGACGTCCTAGATTGTCATTTGAAGATACAGTAAAACGTGAAGGTTTAGGCAGCAGGGAAAGTGTTTTCCTCGGTGGCATGAGGACAGGATGGGATGCTAAAACGAGTTACTAACCTGAGACGACTGTCCTGATAGTTGGGCAGGATGAGCAGTCCACTAGACCAGACTACTGTTGATTATTTAGATAGAGCGTCATTTGATGCAATATTTCCAGTTCCAGTAAACAGCTTCATTCTTCCACCACCACAGTCGGTAACCTCACCTCAACAGGTTGCATAACAAAATTCCCATAGGGATATACAGTAAATTTGTATACAAAATATTTACAGTAAAACTGTTCATTGATTAATAGATGACACTAGATGGGCCAACATCAGAGTACAGCTAAAGTTTTAGCAATAGAGAGCCCGCGGAAACTGTTGTGTAATTTCCTCTGCGGCTCTTGAGGAGCTTTATAGGAGCCCTGATGATGTCATAGTGACGTCATCAGGTTTCTACTGAGTTAGGCCAGAGATAGACTTGCTTTAAACAACCAGTCAAGAGACTAAAAGACAAAGATAGTTTGACCATTCCTTTTTAAAATCTGTGTCTTGCAAGTCCACTAACTTTACAGAGTAGCAATACTAAATCAGTGGAGTACCCCTGCAAGTGTGTTTTTCATCCCGGATGGACAAGTCCAATGGTCCCTATTTGATTTTCTGAATGGGTAGAAACAATGCATTAATCTATCCGTGCTGCCGCTGTGAAGAAGGACAGGCCTGTCTCAGTAAGGTGAGTTTATGAGACTGTGTTCGACGTGTTGTTTCGAGTACAAAACAGACCAAAATTTGTGGATAGCTCAGGATAAGACCATAAAAAAAAAACTTAATGTTAGCATCTGAGGTTGATGAGTTCTACAGTAAATCTATTCGTGGTACCTGAGGAAAAAGAAGGACAGAAAAAGATGTAACAAAAAAACAAGTTTTGAGAGATACTTTGAGAGATACAGAGATACTGTACAGGACCTGAGGACACAGTTGGTGGTGACTCCTCAGGTAGCAGGTAACAACCCCTGCTCTAACATAGAAACTGCACATTGGCAGATTTCTTTCGCCACTTTCTCTCATAACCGACTGACAGACACACACTTTTCCAACGCAGAGCAAACACACAGTACTAGAGCAAGGCATTCTGGAACCAGTAGTGCATTGTTGAGTTCCACCTGAGGAACCTGAATGACTGATTGATTATTGGCGATTCCATCACTCCCACATCTGTTGCATGCAAGTCTCAGCTTTTGAGGTCCTTGTGGTCAAAGATGATATGACTGGCCAGGTAGATAGCGACAGCACCGAAGATGGCAGAGGAGGCGATGTAGGCAGTGACGGACTGTGCGAACTGAACGATCATGCCCATGAAGAGGGTGGGGAAAACCTGAGAGAGGAGGAAGGTGCTGTCTAAGATGGCAAAGTCCAAACCCACGCCACGTTTCTCAAACCCCAACTCGGCCTCCTCCTGTTCGGCGCCACCAGAGCTGTGAGACGATCCGTTCTGGCCGTGTGGAACGGGGTAGTACTCATAACTGTCCTGGCCGAAGAAGGCGTTCCCAAAGGGGGTTCCCGTTTTGTGGTTCAGTCCGCCCTCCTCTTCCACAGGAGTCAAATAAACCGAGTCCCGCTTGGTTGCAATACCATTTTTATGCACGCTTTTGGTTTTCTTTTTTGGCATATAGACCTGAAATGAAACAAAAAAATCAATCAAATCAATCATTCAGATTTTGTCAACATCCTCTCCTTATATATAAAGCAATTAATGTTTATTTACCTCTTTCTCCTTGTGATAGTGGCAGGTGAGTGTGTAGGGCAGAGTCTGCAGTGTGGCGTACGCATACCCAGTGAGGGCGGCCATGACGGTAACAAGGACTACACTTTTGGACAGGCAGATGACCAAAGCAGAGACTGTGAAGCTCACCATGCTGCTCAGGTAGACCCACCGTGAGCCAAAATGGCGAACCAAACGACTCATGACCAGGGAGAAGAAGGTTGAGGTAGCACACTGCAGGAACAGGCCCAGACTGCCCATACGGATACCTGAAAGAAAAAATAAAGGTTTATTCCAACCAGCCAAGCCCATAAAGCTCATAGCTTCCCTCAGACATCCCCTGTAGGAGACCCAGCTGTGACGATGGCTGCCGTGTTACAATATTTGTATTATTTTGTTGTCCGTACAGAATCTGGCATCTGTATTGACTCTAATCATTTCCTTTTATGGCCACATCTAGAAAAAGATGCACAGTATGCTTGAGCATTGCCAAACCCCATGTTAACTTTTAACTGTTTGGCATTAGCAGCTCTTTGGGTGAGCTGGAAAAACCTGGTGTTTGTTCAAGCCCGTAAACACACAGGCACAGATCCGGTTGGGGAGACATTCACAGGGCTCTGTGGCACGGACACGCTGTTTGGGGTGACTGTCTCGGACCATCACAGACAGCTTTAACCTTAGATAAATCGTTGAAAAGCCAGGGCGGGCGACACACACACGCACACACACACACAGGCCAGTCCTTGTTTACTAAGGCAATGTGCCTCCTGGCCCGAGTCTGGCCGAGTCAGTCAGCCAGTATTTGGGTGAGGTCTCCTAACCGAGGAACAACTGATCCGAGGCAGAGTTCAAACAGAGGAAGAGTTGCAGACTCTCGAAATTTGATTCATTCGTGTTATGTTGCTGCTGCATACCATCTAAACATTTTTAGTACCTGATAAAAACAATCTCAATCCACAAAAGCAAAAGAAGCCAGATTCAGTACGATGTGACATTACAGTATGTGATAACAGCCAGTATCACAAGAGCTAAAGACAAACGTCCTTATAATGTATTTATAAAGAAATAATCTAAATGTGTGTTAAGCTCTCCAATACAGTACAATGATAAGAGCATTTGCACTCTCCCTTTGAACTCTGCCTTTAAACCAGATGCAAAAATAACATTTCATTTCCATTTTTGGCTGAATCACAGAGTGCAACAATTTTCAGTACTTTTCAATAAATTAAACTCAACCGTGGGATTTTGTTTGCTGTGGGGAAAAATGTTTTTAATTTATTTTTTAATCATGCCCACCACCTATTTATTTCAGCCTTTAATTAAGGTTTTTATTTTATTTTAGTACCAATTGATGGAAGCTGAACTGCCTACATGTCTAGACTGTAATTTATTTCCGTCTGCATTCAGCCTGGTCTCTCAGCTAGCTGTCCGTGAACAGTGTGGGTCAGAAGTTCAGCAGCAGAGCAGAGAATCGCTTATGTGAAAGGAGTATGTGGATCACATTACTCCTGGAAAGCAAAGCTGCCGAGCCCACTTTACAAACACTACAGAAGCTAATGAGGACCGAAATTCAAGCCCTCGGAGATATGGGACCGAGCCAGAACGCTACTGAATCTGTGCACAGGAAGACTGCGGCAGTATGGGAAAATGGCTGTTTTTAGCCATTATAGCTTTACAAATAACTACTTTGCATTGCAACCCTTCCAAAAAGAGAGATGATCAGAAAAACAATAGCAGTTACTGTTAAGAAATTAAGTTTTAAAATAAGTCCTACATACAAAGCAGACAGCGCTGATGCAGAGGAACATCTGCAGGCTGAATGATGTGGTTTAATAACATCCGCTGTGTTTCAGATTAAACGAACGTGGCTCAGACAGACCTCAGAACTGTGTGCTCTGGCCGTCTACCTGACTTGAATGAACATGTTCTTTGTGTGCCGATTACTTGACATTAATTCTTTGTGAGTGTGACATTCCTCGTGGTCCAGCAAGCACAGGGAGGAGAGACAGGGGGAAAAGTAAAAAGGCAAACAAAGAAGGGAGGGAGATAGAAGTGAAGAAAAAGGGAGGAGAAAAAGCTTGTTGATGGATGGATGGACGGATGGATAAAAATGGCAAACGAAAGTGGGAGAACGGATAGGGAAAGGAAAGGTTGGGAATTTGAAGGATGAGAAAAGAGGTGGACAGTAGTAGGAAAGGACTGACCAAATGAGAAGGGAAGCTAAAAGGTACACAGTTAGGAAGAGAGAAAGAAAGAATGGAAAAGAGGAGAGAATTATGGTGTAAGATAGGAAGTCTGCCTCACATCTGTTTACTTCAGCTTCACTCTTGCCCTTATATTGTTCATTCTGGTCAAATATATATGAAACAGCTCCACTTTATTTGGTTTAAAGAGTATTTGTAACTGTTTCAACAGCTTATTAGTTGACAGTCAACAATTCAACTGTTTTGCAAATGAAAGCTTTGGTTAGGTGTAGGCACAAAAACACATCTTGTTTAGGGTCTGTTCATGAATTGTTACACATACTCTTTAGATCATCTGTTAAACATCTACAGTATACAGCAAATGTAATCTGTAAGCAAACTATCCAAATAAAATATATAAAAGTAAGTAGTCTTCCTACTATGCTTTGCCCTCTTACACCACTTATACAACAGATATGTTCAGGTTTATCTGCCCGCACACCGTCTCTCTAAAAGGTTATAAATAGGTAGAATCCTACAGCTAAACATTTGCATAGCTATAGAATATAGCCATACAACTGTCTAGTAGGATTAGATACAACTCTGTGATTTACACAGCAGGAACAGGAATGGATAAAGACTGTGTGTATTTGTTTACAATTTCCAAAGTGCAGGGGTGGAAAGTAATACCTGACATTCCTTGGACTGGCTTGACACAGACTTAAGCATTTGTACCCACAGGATTTGTTATTTGTTCACAAAATCATCATCATCTTATGTAAAGTCTTGCGTCAGAGCCTATGTTAACGGCTGGTCTTTGCTGTATGTGTCTTATACTTTGACAGGAGCCAAAATGAGGGCAGCGGGAAGGCGGGAAGGCATGTAGGCATGCAGGAGCACAGGCTGGGTCTCTGTCCTCCACCTGTGCCTGAGGAATGTGAGTGCATCCTGCCCAGCTGTGACAGGGAAGACAGCTCCGCCAGGATGGACCCCCTAAGCTAGTTTATGTAGACAGGCGGTGGAGGCAAAGCCATGATGACAAATGGTAGGTTGTGTATAGTGAAATGGAGGTTCGCTTCATAAGGCACCATTTCATTCGGAATTTCCCCATTGTGGGACAAATAAAGGAATATCTTATAAAATCTAATGTGTTAACCACAGTGAGTTACTTACATATTTAGAAAGATATAATTTGACTAAAAAAAGAGAACATAAATCTTCAATACACTCTGTATAAAGAGGAGTTCTGACCTTCATCGTATCTTTGCCTGGACACACTTCCTGGTAATGCACTGGGCACGCCCTCGTACAGGCCTTCCCCCACAAAGTCTGTGTAGAAAAGCATGAAAGACATGACAGCCATCCAGCTGCAGAGCTGAGCCACACACAGCTGCCTCATCACCTGCGGGACATGGCAGTAGCTCCTGTAGATGGCCGGGGTCATGGACCAACATGTTCTCAGCAGACACAGCAGCGGTCCAGACTTCAGCAGCCTCAGTTTGCACTTCAGCAGGTAGCAACATGAGCGCGGGACGCCGCACCGGCCGGCCTCCTTCGCACCGGCCCCCGTCTCCAGTAACGATCCAGACCCTGCCAAGACACTGTTGGCACACAAGGGCTCCTCAGACACCTTCATGGTGATTAGCAGGCTGGAGATGAAGATGAGGATGAGAAGGGAGAAGAGGCACTCGGCCTGGCCTCCCAGATAAACGGAGAGCAGGCCGCGACTCCAGTCCAGTGCGGGTAGCAAATAGCCCACACAGCCTCCCAAGCTGACCATGAAGGAGAACATGGCAAAGGCCTGGCCGCAGTCCTCCTCGTCCCGATACAGGTCCGACAGAAGAGCCTCCAGTGGTGTGAAGCACACTTGTCCACAAAAGTCAAGGAGCCCCACGCCAAGAATAAGGAAGCCCACCTGTAGCAAAGCAATGACATTAAAGGAAGTTACATTTTAAACTCCAACAGAGGGGAGTACTACGAAGCCAGTCTCACAAAGCCAGGCTTTCTTTGCGTTAGATGGCTCAACAAAACCTAAAACACTGACCAGAGATAATGGGTATCACAACGGTGGTTATCAACTTTCTCTGCTCGACTTCCCTCTGTGCACACTCCCATGAAAGGGGCCGTTTGGTGCGTCATTTGAGTCTTCTTCCGCACCAAATTGACTAATCGCATACCGCATACTTATACTAAACAGGTCAACAGGTCGTTATAGTGGATTGCTATAAAGAACATACAAAAATAACACGGCAAAAACGCAACAACCGCTGCAAATAAGGCAAGGAAGGAATGTGAGCAAAAAAATGTATAATCGATTCAATGCCTCCAGTTCATTTCTACAGGGACTGCATATTGTACAGGTCTTAAACTTGATACATCCCTTCAGGACACGTGAATATCATTTTAATTTTTGGCCAAATCAAAGTGAAATTAATTTTCAACAGTATTATCTGTGATAAAGACCAATAGACCAATCAATTTTCTAATTTGTGTTCTTTTAGTCGCCAGACCAGCAGTGGAAAAGGGACTTCACCAAGTATAAAACACAATAAAGTATGTTGTTGCTTTGCTTTCATCATTCTTTCAGTGTAGGGATGATATTCTGTGTAAAAATTGTCACTACGACCGTAGGGAATCCTGGAAAGGAATCTGATATGCAAGTAAACATCATACTAATTAATAATATAGGGAACTATTAATGCGTGCAACCTGCGATTTTATAAAAGGCTTCTTTTATAGCCAGTGTGGGCAAATGGCCAGGGAACACTACAAACTAGGGCTCACTCCCCCTCCCGAAAGGTTTGCTGACAAATCGCACATGCAGAGAGGCAGCCGTAAGCCTCGTCCACAGGCAGCTCACCTGCTGTTGTGAAAATGGAAATGCAGATGAAAAAAAAAACCCAAAACAGGAGTTGTGTTCTTTGTGCGACTTTAGAAAACACAAGAGAGCAGACACGTACAGACTGTGTGTGTCTGTCCGAGTATGATACAGCAAGAGAAAAGCAGAAAGAGGGAGAGCAAGGCAAACTGGAGTGTGTGTGTGTGTGTGTGTGTGTATGTGTGCGCAGCGGTGTGCAGTGGTGCGCAGTAAGAGACAGAGGCGTGGGAGTGTGTGCCAATATCCAAATCCCGAAATTACAAATAGAATGAACAAATTTCAGACTACTCAAATGACCTACTACAAACATATTCAGTAGGTCAGTCAGACCAAGAAAAAACCTTGCAAATAGGTTTGCATATACAACATTAATCTTTCTTTGTAGCAAACACCACAGGTATGAATCCTAACATGGTAAGTTTATTTCTTGTCTTGTGTGCTTTGTAGGTACAATGCACCACAATTAGAATCACAAAGAATAAACAGATATCCCACCTGAAGGGTGCGCCCACCCCAGGCAAGGCGTGCAGCCAGTACATCAGCATGGGGAATGATGACAAGGGCAAGCAGGACTCCCAAAGACAGCAGCCAGATGAAAGGCCGTCGTCTGCCGTAGCTGCTGTTGCAGTGGTCACTGGCTGAGCCAATCAGGGGGATGAACAGGAGGCCAAGCACTGGGCCAATACCTGTGGACAGAACCAGGGACACAGTCAGAGACAACGCGTAGAATATGTAGTGGAGAAACAGTAAAATACACAGAGGAAGATGTGGAAGTGTGAAGTAGAAAGACATTCATATATATTTTTAAAAGAGAAACAAGGCATTTTCCTTCTAAAAGAGTGTATCAATTTAGTATGAAATCCGTAACTCCCACACCAAAAACACAAGTGTCTGCAAAAATCTCTGTTCAGCTTCAGTGGCTTACAACAGCAACTGACTGGTTGACTGGTGTTCAGCCTGCCTTCTACCGGCCCTGTCAAGTCCTCCTTGCTGCTGCCCTACGAGGGGGTGAACTCCATGTTCCACTGCCACTGCCATCCTCGCCAACTGCTGGTGATGGTTCCTACAGATGGCCTGCTGCCTGAAGGTAACCCACCCGCAGCTCATCCTCCACACGTGGTCGGGTCTGGCTAATTAGAACACACCATGTTCCGATACAATATCTAAAATGACCCAATCTTAACATTTAACATTTGAAAAAGGTTCCCCGTGGAGTTTTAATTAAGGGCAAGCACAATTTTGTTTACAATCAATGTTTCTCATCAAAAGGCACTTTGAGTAATGAAACCTCATCGAAAGAGGATAAGATGCTCCTAAATACCTAACTTACCCACAATCCAGTTGTAGGCTACACTTATACTGGAACACAAAGAAAGGGAGACAATATTTTGTGTTCCTGGGGTCTGAAGAGTACTCCAAAACCTTTCAAGAAGCAGAAAGACCCAAAGGCCGGGCAGGTGAGCAGGAAATTAGACGAGCACAGACAAAGAGACAGTTGGGCAATTTGAGAAAGACAGACAGGCCAACCGCAGCCAGGCAATCAGCACCTCCACCACATTTCTTGTTGCTGCAGCTGTGGGGGCCCATCACAACAATCCTCACCATCTACAGCTGTAAGACTTACTGTCCCCCCCCACAGGCACACACTCCCCACTCAGCAGCTGCTCACTACTCCCTGCAATATACACTATCCAGCTCACACACACACACACCACAGAATACTTTCCAGCCCCTGAATACAATGCAAGCTGCTTTCCAGCTCTGTTTACAGACACACGCACACACACACACACACACACACACACACACACAAATCAGTGTGTTAACTAACTGAACCCACACACCACAGACCTACCTAATATAAAACCTGTCACATTCCACAATGTGCTTTGTTACTTGAATACACACCAAAATTTGCTTAAAATATCAAGAGTAATGGACACCTCAGTGCCCTCTCCACTTGCAGATAGGAAACTAGAGAAAGAAAGTAACAACTGGAGGACGAAGCAGCCAACAAATGTCTGTAGAGAGCAGCCATCTGAGAACCTGACACTACTGCTTGGGGAAATTAGCTTTAACCCTCCCAAGACACAATATCTATCTTCATTCAGATAACACTCAGGCACTCCATTATAATGCAGGGAGATGAGAATTAGGTTGAGTGCCATTTCCAGATTGGCTTACAGTGCAGGCGGTTTGGGAGGAACTGTACAATGAAATCATTTTTCTTCATATCACCAGCAGCTGTTCCAGAAACGGAAGAGTAGAAGTGTACATTGTTTAATATTTATACTTGAATAGTCACTTCTGTCATCCACATGGAGGCTTTTGGTTTGGTGTAATTGTATCTATCATCTGTATAGTCACAAGACAATGTCTCAAAGAGACTTTAGTGAAGACCATGTGAATGCAATTTGGGATAAGTGAAGGATAAGGCAACTATTCACATCGCTTACAAGTAAACTTAGTTACAGTGTGCAAATATATACCATATGGGTGATGCTAATAGTGCTAATAGCCACTTTTTTGTGAGCAGCAACACAACTGGCCTTTTTTTTTTAAAAACAACACAAACCTGTCCGTCTTAATGTTTGCATTAGGAAGGGTTCCAGATAGTTTCAGGAAATTCTTACAGACTATTGTAGATTGAAAGGTCTGAGGGAACTAAAGCCACAAGTACACAACCACAAGCAAAACTGAATTACACGTTAGGCAGACATAATGGTGTGGTCATCAGTTGCGCATTCTCTAGAGTGTTTGTGGTGTGTATATCCGCTTTTGCACAAGACAGTGCACTGCATACAAAAGGCAAAATGAGCTCGTTTTCATGAGTATTCCCAGAATTCCTGGATATGTTTGTAAAAAAAATATACCAGTTCAATGTTTCGTATGTTAAAAGTGAAAGATAATATTCATTAAACACCCTAGATTACAATACAGTGCAATATACACAACCACAAACCTTAAAAAATGACCATATACTTGGATCAATGCGTCTCTTACTCAGTCTCAACAAAACATCGTAATAATTGTTGTTTCTTTGGTACGACAGCACTACACTACACTACAGCAATTAAAATCTGAAGTGGGGAAGGGAAAAATGTTTGTCACATCTCTGTTCAAACCGTTTCTCTGAGGACAAAACACAAGACGAGCTTCTTGGATTCAACCACATGCTGCCTGCATGATAGATTTCTTTTAAGCTTTTACTTTCAAGTTGAAGCAGTGTTTACTCCAGCTGGATTGTCTACATCGTAGAAAAATACTTTACGCCGGCAAAAACAATGTTTTGTATTTTCCAGCTGATTGTTCCCTGTGCTTTTCAGCGGCATTAATGTGCAACCCTCTCTTAAGTGTAACAGCAGAGGACTACAGACTCAATGGCTCATCATTCTAACCTGCTGCACTCTTTTTTTATCCAAGCAATGGTTGTTGTTTAACAGCAGGGTTACGCTGCCTTTAAAAGGGCTGCTGTAGTGGAAACTGCTTTTGAGTTTCAGTATTTGGCTGTCGTGTTGACTGACGCTCATTTTTCAACGGATCCTATAGTAGTATAAAGACACATAAAATACCTGAGTAAACGATAGGAAAGCCGGGATACAGGATAAAGCTGATCAGTTGTCGAGCATTGTGCTCTGTGCAGCTGTAATGTGTAGGACTACAAATATCCGTATGTATGTATGTATATGTATTTAAAAAGCCAAAAGGAACAAGGATCACAAATTAGCTTGCAAATATCTAATAGTAAAATATTATATGGAGCAATAGTCTATTCAGTGAAGAGGCTTATGTCTGCCCTATAAAACTACACAATTCCTTTATTTACTCAGATCAAGAAAATGATTTTATGACCTTAACTAATTGAAAATAACGTAAGATACATTTTGTGAATTCACAGTGTGCCATTAGTACTGCATGTGTCTGGCTATCTGGAATTCGTGTCTCTTCCTCCGGCAGGTTGCCCTCCTGCTGCTTTTAAATTAGCGCCTGATTACCACCTCCACAACACAACAGGTGATTCGGCCACTGATTTGCGTAACGGCCTCAATTATGTCTTTATGACCTGAATAGGAAAGAAGATAGGAGCCCTGTGGCACAGTCATGTCTCTGTGCAACACACAAATTGGCTACCACTGGACAAGGTCACATCTTTATGTGTCAAACAAATTTACACAGCATACAATCCTCGGAGGGTACAGCCTGCTCGGATTTACAATACTTCTCATGACGTCAGTACCAACTAATGAAATATTTTTCCATTTGTATTACGGCTTAAATGTAACCACAGCAAACAAAGCATTCAGATTGATTAAATGAAATCTAATTTACTTCCAGCCCTATGACAATATGTAAAGTATTGCAAAGTGAATAAATGGCACTCCAGGGCTATAAAAATCTATAATTGGAAACACTGGAACAAGAAACAATCACGTGGTCAGTAAACAAGCCACAGACGAGATAGTTGAGTCCACGAAGCAGTCTATCCTTGAGAGCGTGCAGAGAAGTGCCTTTGTATCTTCTCAGAAAGGGACAGAGAGGGAAACTATGAATTTGTGAGAGAAAGAATGAGGCAGAAGCAAAGCATGCGCACTTGTATGTACACTATGAGGAAGCAAAGAGCCCTGAGTAACAAGATCCCCCCTCTTTCAGTCTTTATCAAGCCCTTACCCAGCACCATGGTCATGTAGCGCTCCTCCACTCCAGCCTCCAGCAGCAGTGGGGGCACGTATGTGATCCCAGCTGCCACACAGATCTCCAGGCCACAGGTCAGGGAGTTCAGCAGGACGAGACGCCACTGAGACCTCCATCCAGGCATATTTACAGGGGCTGGCTCGCCTTTCCTCGCCTCTGGGATGGTCACTACTGGGGGCAGGGGAGGGGGGAGGGACCCGGGCAGGGGCACGGGGGGGAGCGTGGGGAGGCAGATGGTGCCCCAGTGGGACGAGAGGGCTGTCTGGGAGGGACAGCAGCAAAGACACGTGGATGTCTCAGATGACCTGAAGGATTCATCCTCTTCTCAGCATTCTGGATCTGAAGAGCAGAGGAAGAGGAGAGGAGAACAGAGACGGAAAGAAAGTTTAAGCAACTTTTGAACAGAAAAATGAAATAGCCTGTCACGGAGTACATCATCTGCTGCTGTTTCAGACTGTGAGAAAATGCGAGTTGTGAGCACACACCAGGTCACTCCCAGGTTACTACACCTGGATGTCAGTGGCCTAAGGTCAGCGCAACGGCTTTCTCACTACAGAATCCACACAACAACACAGATTCCAAAATATTTTCCAGAAACATGGAATCGGCAGCGACAGCCACAAGGATATGATATTGATGTATTCTCAGAGCTCCTCAGCAACAGCTTCAAGACAGCAGGAACAACAACAGGCGGACAGAGGAGATGAGTCAGCTGGAGCGACGTGGCAAACACACCAAACCATTTGCCAAGAGAATCTTTCTCCCCCTGCTGCTTTGCTCGCCTTTTTTTTTTTAAAGTCTCAAAACGCTAGAGGTTTGGAAGCTCAGTCTTTAAAAAAAGTTTTACTTTCTCAACTCCCTTTTCCGTCTCCATAATAACTCTAGTATTAGTGGGAGGACCTAAACTCCAGCCTTTTCTTCGCTGACACTGACATTATCTGTATTATTAAGCTCTGATTGCAGTTTAAGTCAAGTACGCGAGACCTCCTTCCAGAAATGTTCAGCAGATTATTACCATTATTCTGCTGAGAGCGCGTGAGACAGTCTTCAGCACCTAAAAAGTTCAGTCACTTAGTCAGTTTAGTCACTGAAAAGAGACTAAAAAGCAGCAACTAGATGAAGTCACATGTGAGAGGGATGATATTTTAGCTCTAGGTACAGAAAGCTATGTGCTGCCAGATACAGGAAAAGTGACAATACCGTCGTCAAGGTGATGTGTTGAAGTCAGAGGTTAAACTTTTTGTTCATTAAGACGAACAAAACGCCAAGGTGAATCCCAACAACTCTCTCATTGTTGTTTGCACACTATCCTATGACAGTTAACCCCTCCTTGAAGGATAATTTCCCCAGTCACATAGCTGACATTGTCCATTACGTGTTCATCCTATCCCTAAAAAAACTGTTCTTTATTTCTGAAGTGTTCGCCGCCTTGACATGACAGACACTCGTCTAAAAGAATGAGCTGCAACTTTTCTAAACACAAAAAACAACCACTTTAGAATAAACTGAAAGAGATTTGCTGTGGAGAAACAGACTGACAAAGCAACATGTCTTCAGTTAACACATCAGACTGCCTCCAATCTGTGCACCTATACGTATGCGTTCCCAGTGAGCAAAAAAGAAAAAGTAAAACCAAGAAAACCATTGTCGTCACCCACCGCCGAGGAGATGTGCGTTCTTTTAAAAGCAGAGGGAAAGAGCAAGAACAGTCAGAACAGCCGCACAACACTGAAACAACAAGGTGCTATATTTGCATTCGGTGTGACATTTCTCTGCCAATGCTGCCCATCTGTTATCTCCCAGCAAACAAAATGGATGTCATCATCTCCAACAAGACTTGGTTAATCACAGAAATGTGCTCAGCTCAGTAAGTGATCTAATCAGATTCACACAGCACTCCAAGCAAATGTACCTTGTTGTTGATGTAAACCTCCGTTAGGCAACATGTACTGAACAGGCTGACACAAGAGGCTAAACAGATGACGTACGGCGAGTGCTCGGGGGCACAAGTAGTTTCTGTTCACTCAGGAGTTTCGTGTCCTCAAACGTCCTATTTTTTGACACCGCTTGCACAATCACTGTCATCAGGCATCCCAGACGCACATCAGCAATCTTAAAAGCTCTTGTGCCTTTTTCACATCGTTGTAATCATCGACGATGCCATCAGAGTTCCTACAGCATTCATACATTCCCAGCTCAGTCATTATGAGTTCTTTCATATACTGGCTCTTTGAGAATCTGAAGGACAAAGCGACAGTGTTAGCAGGCTGGACCTAGCAGGGGCCTGGGTCACTGAGAGAGAGGACCATTTCACACCCGTCAGATCTCATTCCCACCCAGCCTGGGCACGCTGAAAGACACCCATCAGGGGACCAGCATTTGCCCCTGCGGTCTGTCTGGCCACTACAACCCCCTACCAACATATTCTGTGTGTGTGTGTGTGTACGTACAATCCCCCCCCTTTCTCTCCCTCTTCCCTGCATTTCTTCCTTATCCTTCCTCAACTCTTGAGGTCAGCCTCGTCTCTGACCTGCATTCTAAGAGGAAAACCCTTTTGACATATCTGCCCATGACTGGTTATGCCTTCGTGGTTCTGAATCTCAGTGTGAAGGCTTTCTATTGCGGCCCCAGCTGACTCTCTGTCAGACGTTCTCACTGAAAACAGAAGGGCCCCCAAGTGGCAAGAATAGAGAAATCTGATTTGTCTACCCAAGCAGCCGCGGCTTTTCTGGACGCCTGCCCGAATGCGAGTCAGATTCCAGGGTTTTGAAAATTGAATGGTTGCTTAAGTCTTGACCCGAGTGGCGGGTGGCAAGTCAGCGTTAGGACGGCGGCGAGGGAGGAGGTTGGAAAGACTGAAGGATGGCGGCGGGGATAAAGGGAGACAGTGAAAGCAGCGCAGGAAAGCATTTATCAGTCCATTTATCCACCTCAAAGTCAATGATAAAAATAAAATCCATTTGTTTGTTTCAAATATGGTACTCTTTAGCCAATACGTTGTTTGTGGCATTGGCACTAAGCAGAACAAAGCACTTAAAGTTTGTCTTTTTGAGGACGGAAGAGAGAAACACACACACACACACACACAGGCAACCCACACAGTCATTCCACCACTCACTTAATGACACCTCTGACTCTACAATGTATTCTAGTCATGCCCTTCATCGTCTTCCCATAGCCTTGGAGACACAAACGCACGCACACACTGTTAGACAAACAGCTCTACTTGTCACCTTACGTGTTTAAACACTACAATCTGAGCCAGGCTGGTGAGAGGAGGAGGAGGAGGTGGTGGTGGGCTGCTTTTGTCAGCTCTCCCACTGCTCCATTACCAAGCCCTATTCAGCCTTCAGCTGTAGGCTCCCCCCTCCCAAAAAAAAAAAAAAAAAATCGGTCCTAATGACTGTGAGCGGTATTCTTACAATACAAAACAGGCTTTGTATACATTGTGCCAGGGAGAGTAATGTGATATAGTGAGGTATGAAGTCCATTTCCAAGTCTTTTATTGACGCAGTGATCATATAGATGGTAGGATATAGAAATTGTATGTGTGTGAGTGTGTGGCATTGGGTGGGGGGTCTCCCAGCAGACAGCAGGGTTTGGAAGGGAAGAAGGGAAGGAATTGCTCTGAGATGACATCAGAGCCACAGGCAGAGTGGAGGCTGTGGCTGCAGAAACCTCAGCAGGAGGGTCTGGGTTGTGTGTTTGGCTCGAGCTGAATGGCTGCAGCACGTTGGCCTTCCTCCCTTTGAGTTCCTGCACGTTAATGGACCAGACCGTCTGCATGGAGGGGGACAGCAGGACCAGCTTTTATGCTGACAGCTTCCCTGGCTTACTTCCTGCAAACCTTTTCTCTGTGGCTCGCTGAATAACACAAACAGGTTCAGATGGAGCAGCTTCTTATGAGCAGTGCACTGCTTACAATGCTGCCATAATATCACTACCTCAGCCCTTTTTAACAGCGCGGACTGGCATTGTCGTGGAGGTCATGGGAAGAGCCAGGCGTCACTGAATGATGGCCCAGCACAGTCAACGTGTCCTCTGAGATAATGCCAGGGTTTCTACCTGATGTCAGAGTTGATTCATTTATATTGGGACTTTACCCAACACAATTTTGTCAGTCAAATTAGATTTGGCTCTACAACACAAAGAATCGACTATTCGTTCCTTTTTTTCCTGTCAGTTCAGCGCCAAACTAAACTCCTATATCAATCCAGCAGCGACACGAGTCTCGTTTTAATGCCTTTCTTCGGCATCTGTGAAGTGAAAACATCTGATTTCTACAGTCAAAGAAAGTAAAAGTGTGCGTACTGCTCATAGTTTGGTTATAAAATGCCAGTGCACCACAAAGCGTCAAACAGCCAATGTAACAACTGTATGTAACAGACTCACCGACCATGTGCCGCCTCTGACTGAACCCTTTGTTATTTCCATCCACACTTACACTTTCTTCAGAAAATGAGCCCTTTTCCTAATTTATAGACATTTCACCATTCTTCCCACCTCCTTTAGTCCCTCTATGACTCCTTTCTCCTAAGTCAGAGATACCAGGTGTTCTACATCTTTCCATGGCCTGTCATCCAGATGAGGACACCGCCAGACGTCTGGCACCCTTTTTCCAAACACGCTGTTTCCTTCTGTTACTGACAACTGGATAATAACATGGAACTTGTTAGACCTACTTCAATAAAAAGTTTAATGTGTTTGATTTGTGTTCTGCTTCTGCTCACTTGAAAGGCAGCCCTGACCGTGCTGACCCTACCCCTCCAGCCTGTAATCTTAAGCCTACATCCGTCACCATGACCCCTGACCCTGCCTTTCACCGCAAATCATGTGACCAGCCTAAGGTTTCAAAGCAGCCTGCTTCTAATATTCACCTCTTACTGTTGTGCCTAGTTAAATGAAAATTCAACCTGTTACCAGTTATTTTAAAGTAGTGCTTCTGAGAGAAGATACGACGGAAGGACATACATCTTATAACGGAGCAGGAAAGACGACCTTGTCTTATTTCTGGAGGGTCTAACGACAGTCTTTGCAGTGCCAAAATGTGAAGTGCTCTTTCCATCTCTGCACCTAATTAGGGCGATGACTCAGAATAAGTCCCTTAAGTTTCAAGGCCAAAAA